AGTAGGATCAATGAGATCCTATCTGAGCCCTTTCAAATGAGCCCCAACACCATTGTGTTTGGACTCATTTGAAAGGGCTCACGTAGTCTAAGGAGTCTAAGATGATTTAGTAAATATGTCATAATTTTAAAAAGTTACTAGTTGAAATAACCCTTAAAATTTATTGTGGTGTGTGGCTTATTATATTTATATTACGGTGTTCGTTATTATGTGTTCAGTCAATTAGGAAACCAGCCAAACTCCTAATTACAAAATATGAAATCTGCCATATATTTTACAGACAAAGAAAAGAAGATAGACCGGAAAAAGCTGCATAACCAAAAGAAGAAAATATCTGCGTACTTAAAGAAAGCCTACAAGCATCATCAACACCGATTCCTATAAACGACCACCGTCTTTTTCACGGTATTTGGATTTCAATGATTTTTTGACTTAAAATGAATTTTAGACTTTGTGAATGAAACAACGTTGTACTCAATGATTTATTTCACGAATACTAGTCATTTGATAAAATAATTTTTCGGATTTTAGTGTGTTTAATTTATCTTATTCAAGGTCCCGACGTTGCTGTTGTTTTAATATTATTTCAGAATGTAGCACGTAGCGTGCTCAATTAGATAAACATAGAAAGGATACGATAAGCACTTACCTGGTCACCTTGTACATATCATGTAGTAGCACCCGCACTCAATTAGTTAAACTGATCAGTTAAACTGACCGTGTTTCGAGCTAAATTGTTTTTAAAAATCTTTTTTGTTTTATTTTTACTTTATACAGCTACACTTACGTCAACTCTCACCACTCCATTGATTGACTGATAAATAATAACTTATGACATTAGGTCTGCCCTTTGTATTACCTTGTAATAGGGATTACAATAAAGAATAAATTAATATGTGATGATATGAATTATACTCTAAAATTAAGAACTGCTAAGCACTCGCCCGCTTTATTAATAGGAGGACAATGGAGGAACTAAAATCTTTTCAAGTGAATGCTATTAAACGCTTTAAGGACCTTAAGCAGTTAGAAATTCTCTATTCTAGAAATCTAAAACATAAACAGAAATATCATTATTTAATGAAGAAGGAAAACAGGTTCAAAGACGATGCTCTGAGTCAAATTTTATTATCAAACTTTCTTTGAAACGTTAGGAAACCTACAATGAATGAGATTGTAATAATTTTCATAACAACCTATAAAAGGCTAATTAGTTATACGATGAGTATCTTTAAACATAAATAACAGAAGTATTTTTTCACATAGCGTTTAACGTCATCATCATCATCATCATTACAGCCTTTCATGTCCATGTCATGTACATGTCCATTGCTGAACATAGGCCTACCACAAGGAATGCCATAAAACACGGTCCTAAGCCATCTGCATCCATCGACTTCCTACACGTCTTACTAGGTCGTCATTCATCTAGTGTAGGGTCACCCTACACTTCGTCTACTGGTACGAAGCTCAAAAAATTTTGCTCCCGATCGGTTATAGGTTCTTCGAGCTGTAGGGCCGGTCCATTGCCACATCAGCTTACTTGTCAGTTGGGCTATGTCGGTCACTCTGGTTCTACTTTATCACACAGAGAAACCCCGAGAATAGCCCTCTCCATAGCTCCTGAACGACTTTGACTGTTCTTATACGGCGTTTAATATATTATAAGTTATCGCTCAGCCGGTAGGCAGGAAACAAACTTCCATGTGTCACATTCATGTATCCACGGTACATGCTCTCCGGTTAGGGGTACTACAAGTACCCAATTTAGCTCATCTTCAATATATCCTCAATTTATTTGCTATATTTCTGTCTAGATGTATTTAATTTCCTATAGACACTTCTGCAGTATAAATTTGCTTCGTCACGCTTTCCTCATTCATTCTTTAGTTTAATAATCGCTTGAAATAAAGTCTGCCATGTGATGGTGGCGTAAGTCTATTAATCTCTCTATTTTTCTATGTGGTTATATCCTCCCATTTATCGGAAGCCATAAGATCTTTTGCAATAGTCGCTGCATAGGAAATCTTCGATATGGTACGGTAAGATAATGGGGTCAGAGAATAGAGTAAAATCTATGTTATAAAAATAATGAAGGCAAGCATTTATTTCATGTTTATACAAATTTTCCAAGAAGGGATCCAAATTCGCTGGAATGAAAATCGTGATTTGGATGAAGATCGTGATATTGGATGACAAAACCGACAACTATGGTGGCGTGTGTGCTGCTTCACGAGCAATTGGTCCGAGGTAAACTTGGACTCGTTAACCGATGTGACCTAGACATATCATCTTGGTGCTGGTGGTAAACGGGTTTGTTGTAGCAATACGGCTTTCCCGTGGACATCGCACACCCATACCGTTTGTGAGCGACGTCGTAGCGCATAGCGATGCGTCGTCTGTCTTTCGGATTGGGATGATGAGTGTGTTTGGTAGCACTTTTAAGTGTAGCAGGCATATTCAACTTCATGTCTTAGTACATTAGCGCTGTAATACGTGGAGTTTTGTCCACTGGCGTCTTAGTAGCGTGCTACTATGATACGTTGGTGATATTTTTTATATAACAACAATAAAAATTTTGTTACCAAAATCGATAGGGGTCATGTGGGTGTGTTGTGAGGATGCGCCATGCGTATGATAGTTGCATTGATGCTTACTGCTACTTGCGGTATTGCGTCTTGTGATGGATCTGCGGGTGTGCTGCGCCTGATTCGACGCATTCTTGTGGTTCTGGTCGATGGAGGTAAACAAATAACATCTTAGTGCCGGTGGTAAGCGGGTTTGTTGTAGCAATACGGTTTTCCCGTGGACATCGCACACCCATACCGTTTGTGGGCGGCGTAGTAGCGCATAGCGATGCATCGTCTATCTTTCGAATTGGGATGATGAGTGTGTTTGGTAGCACTTTTAAGTGTAACAGGCATACTCAACTTCATGTCTTAGTGCATCAGCGCTATGATACGTGGAGTTTTGTTCATTAGCGTCTTAGTAGCGTACTACTATGATACGTTAGTGATATTTTTTATATAACAATAAAAACTTTGTTACCAAAATCGATAGGGGTCATGTGGGTGTGTTGTGAGGGTGCGCCATCCGTATGATAGTTGCATTGATGCTTACTGCTACTTGCGGTATTGCGTCTTGTGATGGATCTTCTGGTGTACTGCGCCTGATTTGACGCACTCTTGTGGTTCTGGTCGATGGAGGTAAACAAATAACATCTTAGTGCCGGTGGTAAGCGGGTTTGTTGTAGCAATACGGCTTTCCCGTGGACATCGCACACCCATACCCTTTGTGGGCGACGTCGTAGCGCATAGCGATGCGTCGCCTATCTTTCGGATTGGATGTGTGTGACTGAACCGACAACCGATGAGCAAGAATATACTCGAGTGGTAGTCTCGAACTGATAAGCGAATTGTAGGACAACCGCCTACTAGATGGAGTGACGACCTGGTACGACAATTAAGACATATAGTACGTCGTGGGATACACTAAACTCATAATTGTGTGCGGCTCACCTGATGTTAAGTGGCTACCGCCGCCCATGATCAACCGCAACACCACGGGAATTGCAGGTGCGTTGCCGGCCCTTTTGAAAGGAGTAAGCTCTTTTCTTGAAGGTCCCCAGGTCCAGGTTTAGACTATTCCACAGAGAGGTCGTACGCGGAAGAAAACTCCTTTTGAAACGTACAGTGGTGGACCGCCAAGCATTCAGATGGTGTGGATATCTATGATATTTTCATTACATTCCTACATTCAATGAATAACGTCATCGGTTAATCAATTTTTAATCGAATTAAGTTAGACCAGTGAATCCCAAAGTGGTCCAGGTTGACCCCCCAGATCAATATAGGCAGATAAATAGTACTAAAAATTAAGGGAGCGAAAATAATACCGGCTGTATTTCAGTGAAAAATGGCAGAAAGTCAAGAAAATTTTAGGATCAAAGAATGAAGGCCAGAGTTTTTTACGATCAAGTATTTAATTTAATCTGTATGTTATGGCAGTAAATTGTTTCTCAAATCAAATAATATTTCACGATTGAATTAAAATACTTACTAATAATTTAAAATATTTTTTTCTTAATTGGAGAAAATATTTTACTTGAACCAAGTAAACCTTTTTTTTGCATTAATTTGAAGCTTTAGGATTCTTATTTTCTGTATTCCGCCAAAAATTTTTTGGGAGCGACGGTTCTTACAAATCGTAACAGATAGTGTAGAAAAATTTTTGCTTTTTATTGTCCACGGTCTTGAAAAAGTTTTTTTTTTTCAGTTGAACTGGTATATGGATTAGATAGCCTGTTTATTTAGCAATAATTTCCTTTTTTTTAAACATGCCTTAATTTTTTAAGTAGTGTACTTTAAGAAAGGTCAGCGTCTGTTACCATCAAGGCTCGAAAATCATCTAAGTAGGTGTCATCCCGATAAAAATATAGGTAGAGATGTAAATATTTTTAACATTGTAGGAATGAATTACGAAAAGAGACCCACCGTGCACAGTATGTTCATATGACATGGAGTCTAACTTCCAAAAGCGCGTAAACTGTTCGGACTCTTCTTGTGAAGTAAAATAACACAAAAAATGCTGAGTACAAGAAGGTAATTGATATACACAGCCTGAAATAAGCCAACCCAATTTGAACATTTTGAACCTAAGACGTTCCAAAAGACTTCAACGCCTACGAGAATATCGATGGCTGAAGTTAAGCTGAAGTTAAGTTAAGTAACTTCATATTCTTTTTACTTTTTATTGTAAAAAGAATTTGAAGGAGGAAAAATTAGGTTTTTAGAAAGCACTACACTATCTACGGTTGGTTTTAGTCTACTATCTCCCTATTTAAGAGAGTATTGTGTTTGTATTTGCAGTGTTTGCAATGAGAAAGTTTGCAAGACTTATATGCCTAGACTAAGGCAATTCATATAAATATCCCTTTCAGAAGCCTCTTTAATGCGTTATAAAATATCTAGATCTCTAAAAGCTTAATAATAAAATAAAAAATGATCCTTAGAACACAAGGTCAGGTAATGTTCTTAGGTGACTTACGTGATATTGTGTGAATTTTTTTTGGATTTTCGTGTAAAATTGTTCGAAAAGGACGTAGAAAGTTTAAAAAAATTGTTTTTATTACTATTCAAGTTTTCAAGAAGATCAGCTCTGTTAGTTAAACATATAATAAATTATTCTAGATTTGATAATTTAGGTAAGTTGTTTTTTAATTCTTCCCATTGACGACTAGTTACATAGTCCATTTTTTTGGACACTACACATTTACCTAATTGTGTCCCCGTAGGTATTCTATAGGTTGACTTTCATCTACCATATTACGTAGCAAACTTATACATACTCTTCGTATGTTTAAAAATTTAAAAAGGGCCTGCAAATGATTATTCACCAATAATCTCTCACTATCGTACTTACATACATAATATATACATAAACACTCACGCCTGTCACCCAGAGGGGTAGGCAGAGACTACAGACTTCCATTTGGCACGATCCTGACACACCTCTCTCGCCTCCTTCACATCCATACACCTCCGCATACATGCTCGTCGGTTAAGGGTACTCCTAATTTGGCCCGTTTTCAATAAATCGCCAATTTGGTCGATAAATTTTCGCCTAGGACGTCCCTTTCCGACTCTGCCATTCACTTCTGCAACATAAATTTTCTTTGTCACTCTTTCCTCATTCATTCTTTCCACATGACCAAACCACCGAAGCATTCCCTTTCTTAATCCTGGTCACAACATCATCTTGCAAACCACACTCTTCTCTTATTACACAATTTCTTACCCTGTCATTAAGATTCAGCCCTAACATACTCCTTAACGACCGCATTTCTACTGCGTTCATTCTACTCTCGTGCTTCTTCTGCCACACCCAACTTTCACTACCATATGTTAAAGTAGGGACCAACACAGCATTGTGAATTGCCATACGTGCCTTTTTCGACACATTTTGACTCTTCACAATAGAGTGCAGGGCCCCATTTACTCTATTTCCCGCATTCACTCGTCGTTCTATATCCTTATCATATCTCCCATCCCTGCTAAAAACTATCGTACTTCTCGCACAATATTTCCCAAGCAATGGAATTATTTGGTATGGTGCTATTATTGTGAATAGAGAAATGTACGTATCTTTAAACTCGAGTCAGTGCTGATAGTCTCCGTCGAAATGAGGCTAGTCTATCTTTGGTAGTCTGAAGAAGTCATGCTTGCAGCCAGAGGCAAATGTACGGATCATCGCTGAGGGTCGCGGCGGGCACCACGGTAGATGTGAACATCGAAAGTTGCACGCGAGCTCGGGACACACATCCCTTAATCTGCCTTAGTTAGGCACTCGTCTAAGCGGCTTTTCGCCGCTTGCGCCCTCCTTTCTGCCAAGGAGGGTCGCGTTAAGCCAGTCCCTAAAAGGTGGGGTTTAGTGGGTAAAATCTCCACATAACCACGCAGCCGGCTGCGCGGTATGCTATGAGCATTCCCCACCTCCCTCCCCGTTTTCCGGAGGGTTGCCCATATTTGCTTCGGGCGCAAAAAAAAAGCTCGGGATACTTTGCGCGTAGTATTACGCCTCGAACTGCTCCCGCTCTGAGTATGCGGCGTCAATGTCCTCCGACATCAGTTCCAACTCTGTCTGTAACACATCGAATTCACCGTAAAGAGTGTCTATTTTATCAAGACGAAAATCCAGTTCAGCTAACTAAGAAGTGCTCAAGCTAATGCAAGTCTGAACTAAATTTAAAAAAGAGACAAACAGTCTTATTCATAAAAATCCACTAAAATGGCGTTATAACAGTGATTAGTTAAAATGCTCAATAGTACTATTAAACCTATTATAAAATTCTCTATTCATAAACGTTCAATAAACCTGTCATAGTTAAATCATATTTATGGAATACTTTAGTTTTATTAAGTTGTCATTCTGATGAATCCATAGACAAGCCACGATAAAAAAAGTTTGACAGCAATTGTGACATTTCCGTCAAAACAAGCGTGGTGTTTTCGTTAAATCAATTCAAGAAATTGATTTTTTTTATATTCATATATAACTCAATAAAAATAATGGAAAAATTACATGTAAAAAGCGGCAAAGAAGTGAAAATTGGCTGGAGGAAGATAAGGTTAGTATGTGACTAAAGTAATTTTGTCATAGGTGCTTAGTGCACAAATGTTAGTTAACTGTGTTGTTATAATAGTATCCTTTTTCTTTCCATAGCATTTATTGATGGATTTGGTAAGGGAGCGTGTATCAGTAATTGAAAATAAAAATACTGATACAAATACAAACTCAAAAAAGCTAGCAGCATGGGCAGATTTATTATGCAGGTACCTATTTTTGTCTATCAATTTGTGAAGTGTTTGAAGATGAGTCTTCAACGCAATGATATTCTATATACGATCAGTTACATTATTATGCAACAGAAGCATGTCACTTCGTCTCTTGCTGGTCTAATGCATATAAGCTTTTAAAGTCATATAGGATTGGACAGGTTGATCTACTATGAGAAAGCGCAAAAAAGTCCTCAGGATCACTTGCATTGTGATTGGCCCATTTTGAATATTAAAATGTTAAATATTTGTACAAATTGTGATTATACTTTTTTCCAGGTTCAACAGTATGTGTAAAGATGGCACTCGCACTCTTCCCCAAATAGAATCCCAACGGAGCATCATTAAAATGACAAAAAAGAAAATTAAGTCTGTCGAACGAAAGAATCTTCGCTAGACTGGTGGTGGTCCACATCCAACTACGAACCCTGAAAATAGAGACAATTGTTCATGGCTCCCTAACGAATTTGTCATTGACACCAATGAATTTGATTCTGATGAAATAAATCAGGTATTACATACGTCAAGATTCTAAGTTAAAGGTCGCAAGTTTTATCTCTACCCAGTACTACTTTAATGTTGCGTAAATACATTTGTTCCTTTTCTACCTAAATAGCATACCTACTAAAGTTTACTTAATGATATAGTTACCAAAAAAAATCCATGCTGAAGTACATTATTAATTTAATTATTTATTGCATTGTTTGTAGATTGGGGAGCCATCGCAAAATCAAATCAAAGTGGATGGGATAAATAAACTTGTCAATGTTGAAAACAAGTCTTCAGATAATGTGAGCGTCCATAAAGCATTGAGATAGCTAGCAATTTTCATATTTTTCATACCTATTTTATTTTTATATTTTACTGTTGTAGGACACAAAGAGTACAGTAAAGGATGTCACAGTAGAAATATTTGAGGAGATCCAAACTACACGAGAGGTAAATATGTGAAATGTCATAAACCAAGTACTTACTAAACATGTGCCAAAGTGGGAATCAAACCCATAACTTGATTTGTAATCCTTGATTGTAAAGTTTAGGGATAAAAATAATAGTTGAATAAACAATGGTCTATTTAAACTTAAATTTTATTTCATGAAACAATTTATGTCAAAGTATATTAAAGATTAAGTTAATGAAAACATGTTTCTTTTAACGGTTTCCTTTGCCTCAGGTTGTATCTATTGGCTCAGCACCAAAACCACTCTATACACCATCTAAGAAACCTGAAAGAAAGAATAAAAATGAGAAAAAGGTAAATATAATGACTTCTACTCTAATAGGGATTATGTTAATTTATGAAATTGTTTTTTTTTTGAGGGCGCAAGCGGCGAAAAGCCGCTTAGAAGTGTGCCTAACTAAGGCAGATAAGGGATGTGTTATGTAGGCTCGGCCTGAGCCGCCAGGAGGCAGTTCAGGTCAACCGAAAGCTTGTTGGGGGGTCCGAGAGAGAGTTTCTCGGTCTGCGCACACTAGAGCGAGTGTGGATAGGGGCTGCATAGGCAGCTGTCTTACGAATGAGATGATTTGGATGGGACTCTGAGGCTTTGAAAAATCTCTCAGAGAGTGATTTAAGGAACTGCTGGATTGTTGGGAGCTCTAAGTCTCGGTGTAGGTCGGCATTACAGACAGAATAGGGCGAGTTAGTGGCCCTACGACAGAATAGATTTTGAACTATTTGAAGTTCATTTATAACTTTAGGGGTTGATTTTTTTAAATACTCAAACATAACTATTTGTATTTCAGACCGCAGATCATGCAGAAAGTATAACCAATACTGAAATCGAGTGCAGGAAAGAGGACCATCAAGCCCAAATGGCAAATGAAGAAAGGAAAGCCCGAAACTTGGACCTCGATGAGACATTAATTAAATTAAAAATTGAATATTATAAAAAAAAAACTTCTAGTTCTTGAAAATAAATAATTTAAAATTAAAATGTGAAGCTTACTTACTCATACCCTTAATTAGCTAAAATGCCTATCGATAAATGCTCGTAGAAGAGCATTATTGGAGTCTCTTCCTCTGGCCTCACCAATTTGAGGTAGAAGTTCAGCATTTACAATTGTATTGACTTCATCATGATCTGAAAATTATATTATTATTATTATGTAAAGAAATATTATATTCATGAATGTAATAAAATTATTTGTGTGCAAATTACCTGGTACCGAATCCTGTTGTCCTATTGCAATATTGTGCAACACTGCAAGAGCCACAATTGTAGGTTTCACATTTTTCATGTGTACTGTCATGCCATACAACAGACTTTGAAACCGCTGCTTCCACACTCCAAAGCAACGTTCAACACAGTTCCGAGTGGCAATTTGTGCTCGATTATATTTTTCCTCACGCTCATTTTGTGGTCTTAGTATAGGCTCTAAATCGATAGCCTGAATCTCCTAAGAGTCTCCCTCTAAACTCTCTTCTTTCAAAGCGCTCTTTAAGAGTCGATTCGTTAAAGATACGGGAATCATGGGTACTGCCTCGCCATCTGGCAACGATGTCTCTGATATACAGCTTAGCATCGCAAACCACCTGCATTAAAAATTTTAAAAATATGTGAGCACAGTTATGTATGTAGGTAAAATAAATACATAAATACACTTATATATACACATATATATGTATATAAGTAATATACCACCTGGCAAAGAACTGCATTGTATTATTATATGAACTTACTATTACATACAGTAGTACATTCAATGAATAAAATCCTTTTCGGTTTATATAATACAGAGCTGCATCACCACCAGATTTCTTTATTTTTATGTGAGTACAATCAATGCAACCCAACACAGAAGGGAAATTTCTTATCTCTAAGAATTCCCTTACAACCCTTTGCTCTTCTGCCAGAGACTGTGGCATTTTTATGTACGTCTCAGAGTGACAAGCAATCGCGCGAGCTACTCTGGCACAAATGCGACTCACAGTTGGTTGTGTCAACCCATGAAGGTCTCCCCCACCATCTTGAACCTAAAACGGATAGGTACAAAACCTTATATATTACTTGTATACTAGGAGTTGAGACTTACTTCACGACGTCCCCAACATCTAATGGCAGTTAACACCTGCAATTCTGGTGATGTACCACAACCCCTTGGGTCCAGTTGTAAATACTGCCTTACAAGATCAATTATAAAAGATGCCGTATGTTTATTGAAGCGGTATCGCTTTTTGAACTCTACATCGGGCAAAGAAAACGGATCATATCTCTTCTGGTAAACCTTACGACGACGATGCGGAGCATTTCCTAGTTGCTCCATAGCTTCTAAAGCTTGCAGAGCTTGCATATCGACACTTTTTAGTAATCAAAATCCACAAAAAACAATTTCACCAACAGTAACTTAAACGACTTAAACAAACAGCTGTTCGTTGCTCGCACGCAAGTCGGCCATATTTTTCTTTATTACAGGTTTATAGTAGGGTGCACCCTTCTATAACTTATGAAGCCGTTATAGAGCACTTATAATGCGTTTTAAAGTTACTAAAGGTTTATGAATAATGTTTTACGGGTACCTCCTTATAACAAGCTAATAAACCTATTTTAACTTTTTATGAATAAGACTGAAAAAATGTAAGCTTTGCTTTAAGGCTTCCACGTTTTCTATCCAATTCTTTCAATTTAGCGTGAGCCATTATTCTAAAGAAATCTTAATATGCAATAAAATGCAAAAATGCAATATAAAAAGCAAAACAAATGCGAACAATAATTTAAGCGTAACAGGCGGCTAAGAAGGCAAAAAGGCGATTAGATGTTACTTTTCAAGTGATAAAAACCTATCGTAATTAGTTCTACAATGAAAGGAATGTCGAAGCGTAGAAAAAAGTAACAGATGTAGTGAACAGGTCGGTGTAATAAAACTATGAGCACGAACAAAGGCGTTTCGGTCATAAAAATTAATGCTTTGCAATGCAAATGAATGCAAAAATATTAAGATGTTTTAAAAGTCAAAAGTAATGATTTTACAATTATATACTTGAGAAGAGATCAATGTGTTGACCCATGTAATACCATTTTAAGTCCCTGGATGGATTAAATAAAAAAGGCAGGAAAAATAAAAGAGTGCAACGAACTCACTCAGTTACGTATATTTTTGACTGTCCTCTAAATGTCCTCCAAAATCTCGGCAGGCCGTACAGTCAGTCTAAAGTCCACAGTGGTGGTGGTGGAATTGCACCCGTAGAACCGGTTTGACGTCCGTAGCCCGGAGATACGAGCCGGTGAGAATAATGGGCTATGACGTCAGGAACAGTATGTATTGAAACTTTGCGCAAGTGTAAGCAATAAGTTTTGTCGCATTCTGATGAACGGTACGGCAGTGCGTAAAATACGAGCAATCAAAAAAACATAGATTTTTGTATATTACATTTAAAAAGTGTTTTTATACGAGATAATTAATACACATTTATGAATATTAGTAAACTTTAATGAAAGTCCAAAAAAAGTTATTCTACATCACATATTATGTTGGTATAGCCGGTGGCGGTATAAATGGCGGTGGTGTGAGTAGAATTATCACTTCACTTTACTTTCAAATAGGGTCATTTTATTTAAGAGGCAGAAGTCATCGCTAATCCGTGTCCACTGTTGCCCCGCGTTATGCTCTTACTGCATTACGTTAAATAATTTTTAAATAATTTTTTTACATTAAATTAAATTAATTAAGTTAAATAATTTGAAGGTTTACAATTGCTAGTGTTTTTCGGATATACAGTATGACAGACACACAGTAACACCCACAACATTACACACCACAATATTTAGAAATTAAGGCTTTACCTCTAGCGAACGACCTTGAGCGTTTGGCCTGCCGACGCTCTCGCTACAATACATCGCGTAGAAATCTGCAAGACGCCACCTACTGGTACGAACGTAGTATTAATTTATCAATGTCAATGAACTATTTTATGGAAATATACACGGCAGACAATAATATGTGTATTTTAATTTTCTCTATTCGGTATATTAGTTGATTAGAATTATGTATTCTCATATATTATCTAATTAATAAAAATGACTATTTTGATTATTTTTAACTATATACTATTGAAAAGGAACCCAGGTTCGGGCGTCCTCTCAATCCGGCCGCGAAGGACCAATTGAAAAGGAACCGCAGCTTATTCAAACGTTCAACTAAGAAACAGAAGGGAGGAATCGAGGCTTCTCTCGATCCGGCCTCCTATAACGCCTACGTTGGGTTCGGGAACAACGTATGTGATCTCCGCAACGGAGTAAAACACAAGGGCGATAACCTCTTCCTTTTCAGCAAGTAGGTTCAGACGGGGATTACGGGTCTTCCGAAGTCGTCCCGGTCCCAACGCCTTAATTCTTCGATGTGGACTGTATAACTTTGAGGGATGAATTTCTTGGGAATAAAACAGCAATTATCTTTAAACCATTCCGTGAGAGAGTAATTACTTTTCCCTATCACTTCCCTACACTTTTTCTTTCTTCTTCTTATTGACTGCTGGTCTGATTTCCGAACTTTTTCCCCGAACGAATTGCAACGTTGATGTCTTCTGTACGTACCTAAGTACGTGCAGGTATCGGGCCTCGGGGTATACCCCATTACCCGGATATCCTCATACCCCATAACTATGGGGCAGTCACTTATTGCCTATCTTGGCGTGGTTATGCTGCATATATTATGTAGCCGGATAAGAAAATTTGCTTTCCGTAGTTCACCGACTACGGAAAGGGAGGTAATCTATAGAGGTTATCAAAGTCTAAGTTGGCCTTTCTGCGGCATTGTGGGTTGTTACTCGACTCTCTAATCACATATAGAGAGGAGTTCTCTTGGAAGAGGTCGCCCGTCCGGTGGCCGGGTGTGTAACGGCGCAAAGCCGTTCAGGTGTTCATGTGGCCCGTTATCGGCACGGTCAAACATGCCGCGCGCTAACCGGGCCACGAAGTCGGTGATGGTCTCGACTTTCAGATCGGCCGCTATGACGTCGTTCCGGACGTAACGACCTGCTCCGACAATCGTCCTTAATGACAGATTCTGCTGAGCCTGTAATCGCCGCCTCTGGGTGTCACTCAGAAGCGCGTACCAGGCCGGAGCAGCGTAGGTGGTAATAGTCCGGATATACATCTTGTATATCCGGAGCTTGGTCTTTATGGGCAGCTTGGATGCCAGGACCGGACGAAGCATCGCCCGCGCACATCTGGCTTTGCGGACGACGAAGTCGACGTGCGCAGTCATGCGCAGCGCCCGGTCGATCCGGCACCCGAGGTATGTCACGGCCTTCTCGTACGCGATCTTCTGGCCGTCGAGAGTTAGTGGTGGTGGTAAGTTTCTGAGGCGGCGGGTGAGCAGAGCGGTCGTCTTACCAACGTTGACGACCATCCTCCACTCGTTCAGCCATGGTGGCAACAGGTCCAGCAGACGCTGCATTTTGGCAGTGGCTATATGGGCTCTTCCGGACGAGGTGAAATAGGCGCTATCGTCCGCATATAGCGCCAGCTCGACGTCGTCCTCCCATTCTTGCAGCCTGCCTGCCAATGTTGGTATATCATTCGTGTAAGCCGCGTACAGGACTGGAGACAGACAACTGCCCTGTGGGACGCCGGCACTGATGGTTCTTGTTGCGGACTCGGCGTCCTCTACGCAGACGTAGAACTTCCTGTCTTCCAGGAAAGACGCCATTAACCGCAACATAGCAGGGGGGACACTGGTCTGTTCGTGCAGTTTGTATAGTAATCCTGAGTGCCACACCCGGTCGAACGCCTTCTCGATATCGAGGAAGACGCCCAACGATATGCGGCCACGATTGTACTCTGCCGCAAGCAGGTGCAGCACTCGAGTCAGCTGTGTGACTGTAGAGTGACCCCTCCTGAATCCGTGCTGCTCCGCCCGAAGTTGGATGCACGGACGGAGACGTCTTAGCAGCAATCTTTCAAACAGTTTAG